TACGTTCTAACATTACATCTAAATTTTTCTTAACAATGGACATTTGGTCCTCTCCAAATAAAATACCCTTTATGGGCATAATAACAATTCATTATATTGATAATGAATTTAAATTAAATAATCATTTATTAGATTTTATTCCTTTTAAATCAGCACTATTAATATTTATAATTCTGTATTAAAAGTAAAATTTGAAATTGATTTTTTTTGTATATGGTAATGGTTCATGATTTTTTTTCCATGTTTATTTAAAACTAGAAATTAAGTGTTTTATAATGACTATTTATTTCTATTCTTTTAATTAGTTTTTTGAATTTAAACCAATACAATATAAACCAATAGCAATACAAATAGAAAATATTGTTTAAACCAATATCAATATTTTAGACCCAATACCAATACATTATTTTGTTTATATTGGGTTTTTAATATTGGTTCCCAGCTAATAGTATATATGCTTAATTTACTTGTGCTTGATGTATTTGAAAATGATTGTAAACAGATTTTACAAATCTTATGACCAGTCTCTTTTTTAAAATAATTGTATAAACATCTTTTAAAGAATTTGATGGATTTTTTTGATTTTCATCAATAGTCATTCTTTCACCCCTTGAAGAGTGTGGCATTTCAATAGTACTAGTAGTATCAACTTCTATGATTTCAATATCCATTTCTAAAAATAAAATATAATACTACCTACCCTACTAAATTAAAATACTTGAAGGCGATTGAATTTAATTGAATGAAACGGAAGAATATAAAAAGTAAACGATAAATTAGATATTAAAAAGTGTTAGGCATTAAATAATCATATTTTATATGTTCATGTACATACACATTAACTATTGCATCGATTCCTACCAGCCAATAAAATCCGTGTGGTCCGGCAAAATCTAAATGTACCCTTTCCCAGGGTTGTGCTGGCGGATTCCATGGGTATACGGCAACTTCTGATATATCTCTGCGATGTTTTTGACACCCAATACAGCGGTTGACTAATTTTTCGACATCTTTATCTAATTTTTCCCACCATATATAATGTCTCGTAATGGATTTCATCGATGTAATACCGGGATGACCTGTATGTAATATCTGTAAAACTCGTTTTTGTAGTGAATATGGAATTATTAAACGACCATTCCAAAATAGGATACCGTCTTCATTTTCTATTTCATCTATTCTTGTTCTAAAAGCTTGTAATTCTGGTGCTTGATTTTGTATATTTGTACCATTTAATAATATTTTTACTCTTCTTAAAATTGGATCTTTAGCAGTTTCATCTCTAAGTTCTTTTCTTGATAGAGTTCATGTGTCATAAGTAAGATTTCATATATATTTTACTGTTTTATTTTCACTTGTTATTTTATTATCATTTTTCTCTATTGGGTTTCGCGATAAAGCATCTTACTTGCGCTATTCTTATTCATTATTTCATAATCATATGCAGATAATTTATAAGCCCAACGTAACAATATTTGGTTTGTTAAGGCGTTTAAATCTCTGTTATCCCCATATATTTTTATTAAAGGTTTATGGTCCGTTCGTATTTTAAATTTTCGTCCATACTAATAGTTATGAAATTTTTCTACGCCGTTTACTACGGCTTTGGCTTCTTTGTCGATTGTTGAATAATTCTTTTCAGCATCTTGTAAAGTTCTCGAGGTGTAAGCTATAGGGTATTCGTTACCATTATCATATTTTTGCAAGATATAGCTCCAAATCCTTGGTTTGATGCATCTGTTTCTAGTATTAACTTAAGTAATATACTTTTTCTTTCATAAAATTTATTTTGCTTACTGGTTCGACATTTTTTATTAATCCTAATTTATTATCAAACACCTTAGCAAATTCTTTATATAGTTTGTCAATATTTACGTTACCATTATCATTGTATTTATATCTATTGTTGATCATATTGATTTTTACATTTTTTGGTAACGATAAGTCAAATTCGATAATCCATGGAAATCCAAATAGAGCTGCATCATTTGTTTGTGTGACTAATAATGGAAGCCATTTTATGTTATTATTTAATTGTACTACATCAGCTTCACCCATAATTCTTATTCTATTATTTCCATATGTTGTTGGTGCTTTAGCTCTTCTAAATTTTGGCCTTCCGATTTTATTCCATATTATTTCATTAATAATGGTTACTGCCGAGCCAGTATCATATTCCATTTTAATTTTTTGGTTGTTTATTAATACCTAAATTGTTGGATGTTGCCCATATTTGTATATTTTTCTTATTGAGACATCCGAATCGTCTTCTTTATTATTGTAATTTGTTCCGTAAATCCTTTCTTTAGCTTTACAACATACGGCGAAGTGGTTTGGTTTCCTACATTTGCTGCACAATTTTCCGTAGGCGGGACAATTTCTAATAGCATATTACAGAAATAGCATGGTTTTCTCCAATTACCATTATTATTTGTATGGTAGTTATTATACTCGGGCACTAGTTCTCTTTTTATATATGCTTTATTATCCTTTTGATAGTGCCGTTTATCATTATTATTATACTGCCGATTATTTTTATCATGTTGATTTATCCGATTATTATTATCATGTTTATTCGGCTCTTTGATTTTATATACCATTTTAGCAGTATTTATTTTAGTCAGCTCGTTTCATCGCTAAAGCCAATTCTACCACTTTGTTTAAGCTTAACGGTTGGTCTTCGTCTTTAGTATCTGGATATCTTAATCGTAGTTCTTTATCCAGTTGTGACATCTTTAGTCCGGCGATTAATTGATCTCGAATTCTCAATTCTACATTGTCTTCAAATTCGCATCTTCGGGCTAGCTCCTTTATATTTTTTAAATAGCTCATTACGGATTCAGTAGCCCCGCGACTTAATCTAATGAAATCAATTGCGTCTAGTGTTGTTAAACGACTCGTTTTGAGCCGATTTTTAAAAACGGCTAACTCAATAATTCACCTAGAAAAATATTATACAAGCCTGAAGATTTTGCTCTTAGAAGGAACAAAGGCACATACATATATTGTCGAAATCTCAAGGCTTAGGCTATATTTTTCTGGCTAAAATATTGAGTTGGCCGTTTTTAGAAATCGGCTCAAAACGAGCCGTTTAACAACACTAATTGCATCTTTATATAGTTGTTTTGCTATTTTATATATGTCAATCCATCCTACCTCCTCTATATTCTTAGGATAGAGTAATTTTTTGATATCAGTTATAATGTTTATTCCTCCTTAAGCTATAAATAATTTTTTTAAAGTGGCGTCAGTTTGAAAAATATTTTTCACATTTAGTATATATTTGATATGATCAACGTAGTCCTCGATAGAACAATCTTCCTTTTTAAAGTCCTGGAGAATAATTTTATCCATAATTTCTAAATATATATAAAAAAAATTTTATAAACAGAATTTTTTTTTATAATTCTATATATTATTAAACTTGACCGAAGACCGACAGCGCAACATAGATTTTTTTTAACCTCGTCGCCATTTTTTATAGTCAAAACAATCGATTCTTTATTATAAAATTGTTTCCTATATATAGTCTTTTATAATTATGTCATTTAACTTCTACTAATATGCAATTACATTGACCTCCATAAGATAATATTAAATGTAAGAAAGTTATAACATATAATTCAAATAGCGTAACCTTTTAAAATATATATATAAACATTCAAATATAACATAATACAGCTAATCCTAAAACTTTAAGAGATTCCGAGCTAATCTCACAGTGTAAAAGGAAAAGAACACCCCTAGTTCCTTTAAGATTTTAGAATCTTCGTTGTTTATAACAAATTCAACTAAACATTTTCTACACAATATGTTTATAGCCTTTATATATTAGAAATAATAAAATAAATTATGAAATTAACAAAAGAATATGTTTTAATATTACTTTGTTAATAATAGATATTAAATATTTACTATTCCATCTCGTTGCGATGTCCATTGAAATTCTAGTTCCACCACTTATATGCATGTATTCTTGCATAAGTTTATGGCTTCTATGTAGCTTTTTCTATAAGTATATCTTTTCTATAAAGCTTCCCTCACAATCAAATTAATTATATATGCTAAGCAATAAAATTTTTTATTATATTTTGTAATAAAATGTTCTTTCATAAATTCGGTGGCTATTATTATGTTTTATGTTAGTGACGTTATCATGAGCTATGGCTTGTTTTTTTAGTTTCGATTTCTTTAATAGAGGTTTTTAAAATATCACTAAGATTCTCACCAGTATGTGTGTGAGGGAATTCGATCAGGTCCAATAGAAAACTTATCATGGCCAATTTATTATCTCTACAGTGAAGAGTTATTGCATAGTAAGATAATAAATTTAACCCTGTCCAGATATCGATGGGGTTAAGTAGCTATAATAATCATAATGTAGAATTCTGTAAACTTAAGATTATAAAGACGACTATTTTTTTTATATATAATATTCCAAATAATTGGATAGGTCGTATTGTTAAACGGCTCGATTTGAGCCGATTTTTAAAAACAGCTAACTTAATATTAAGATTGTGGTCATAGATGGCACAAAAATTTTGACACCTATCAAGCGAAATGAGGATTAGATAATATTAATAATAGCATGGTCATATTACAATAAAACACATAGTCCTAAAATTTCGAATTTGAAAATGTTTTACCCAAACCAAAGTGGGTAAATTTTTTTAATATTTTTATCATAGAGTAAATAATAATAGTAAACCGATTCAAAATAAGCCGACTCATCTAGCCAAAATTGATTCACTAATCGAGCCAACTCATGCGGCTCATTGAATTGCTCAATTTGAAATTAGTTTCGCGACTCCATCTTAAGTTCAGAGTCGTAAAAACTTTACTTTTTAACAGCACTATATATAACCAAGCCACTTTAATATTTGCAAAAAATCAGTGCAGCCCTTAAATCTATACCTTTTATATATGACATATATACATTTTTAGTCAACATAAATATAATTTACAAGGATACATTTTAATACTTTGTTTGATAACACAAGGCTCCAAATGGCCATGAGTTAATAGTGGATTATTGGGAGGTTATAGGTCATTCTCCTCCTGGAGGAGCTGAAAGTCTTATTAATGAAGTAATATTTTTAAAAATGACATTTAATATAAGATGTCTACCTGTAGTGTTGTTAAAAAGCCTGATTTAAGTCGATTTTTAAAAATGTCATGATTAAAATTTTAGGCAAAAATATTTTGTAAGCATAGAGGTCAAAACCTTTCTGCCACCTATGAGGGAAATCTCCACTCTTATGTAATATTATTTTGACATTTTAATCGGGTCATAACAACACTATTAGCCAAACCTGTTTAATTCGGGCAACTCCCTAATTTGACCAAAATTTGGGATCCAAATAAAATTCTTATTAAGTATTATTAGGAAATGTATTGATTTGGAAAACTGTCTACGTTGAAAAGTGGGCAGATTTTTAATTTTTTCATTTGATTAGACCTCTATAAATGGGGCATTTATTGTGTCATTCATTTACATTATAAAATTTTATCATCTTTTTAAAACTATTCATTTCAAAAACAAAATTTTTAAAGTAAACAAGTAACGAGTCATCATTAATTAGAAATGTTTAGGTTATTAAATTTATAAATTGTCATACTCGAGATGTGCTGAAAGATTTAGTATTTCTAAAGGTATTGTTCACAATATTTATATATATAAAGAAGAAATTAACATTCAAATAAAACATATTATACCAAAATAACTAATAAAGATAACATCTTATTTTACTTCATAAATTAATTTATATTTTGTATACAACCATTTTATTATAATTTAATATATATCAGAGACCTCAGGCTCGGCCTTAACCCCCTCCTGGGTACACGGGCCTGGTAGTATTTTAATTTTTTAAAATATATTTAAGCCCATCCTAAATTTTTTTTTAATACCTGGGCCAAGCCAGGTCTAAAAAATTTTTAAAAAAAATATTCAGGCTGGACTGGACCATATATTTAAAAAAAAAATTGGGCAGCGCCTTAAATTTTTTTAAAAAAAAATCTGGGCTGGGCCATGCAAATGGTACCTCTGTAGATATATAGTACATTCTTATTTTGTATAAGTTTATTTGTACAAACATAATTTTACTCATGATTTTGATGAATTAATAAAAATAAAAAAATTATTTGATAATGGTTGAATATAATCTCAATTTCTGCTAAACTATGAATCTAACAGATGATAAAATGTTTTTTAAAGTTAAAAGTTTGATAAATTGGGCAAAAATTTTGGTCCCCAAATTAAACAGGTTTTAAAATAATTTATTATTTTATTCTGGGAATAATTTTATACTTATCTTATTTTTTTCCTAATAATTATCTAATATTAATTATTAATATTCCCTTTAAAATCAGGAATCCCATGTAGATGTCCAATTAGACAATCGGCATATGATGTTAAGGGGTGAAAATGTAATGATTTTTTAAATTTTTAAATTGTAATAAGTTTATATAGATTAATAGTACAATTGCATTATTATTTTTGCTTTAGTTTGTAAATTGTAATTAATATTTTTCCCTAAGGTGTCACTTTTTTATTGGTGTGCATAAAGGCTAAGTTTTTATAAATTAAATGGTGCTTATAGAAGGGATATAGAAATGTTAAATTGATATTTTTTGTTATGTTTAATAAGTGCAATGTTTGAGCATCTTTCGATGAATTTTTTTAAAATAAACATGGGAAGGAAGGGAATATGGGCACAATTTTTTATTTAAGGAGGGGGTGTCTATCACTCCTTTGTCTCTTCATTTTGACGCCAATGGGTAAAAATAGGATTCCACCTTTTACAAAATATATAATTGTACTCTGGTAGTTTTAATTTTTATATAATTTTTAAGTTTTCCAAAATCATGAAAATCAGATCTGTTGTTATGCAATGTTTTAGGGATCATTACTTCTCACGTGGATATTTTGAAGTTTGATTATTTTTATAATTTATTTATTTTTCCAGTTTACCATATTCTTAGAAATAATTCTTTTTAATAGTATAATCATAATCTGACCTGGACTGAAATCTTGATTTATAAAATCAGCTTCACCATTTTATTTGATTTTTAAAAAAAATTTATTTAAATTAAGTACAATATATCACAAAATCCAATTAGATAACACCTCCCACTTTGGTACAGACTCAAGTTGAAGGAGGCTCAACGCTTTTTAGATTTAATTATTTTGACGAAGAAGTTTGTTTAATTATTTATTACCATAATTTTTACATTACAAATTGTTTAATCTATATAACTAAATAGATGAGGCATATTCAATTATTATAAAAAACACCATTAATAATATATGCAATAATGCAATCTAACAAATTACCTATGTGATTGGCACATTTTCTCTTTTTGTAAAAGACATCTTATTTAGGGTATCATAATAACATTAATACTAGATATTTTTTCCTTTTAACAATGTAACATTTTAATTTTTTATCAAGGAGATATCCCACCCTACTAATAAAAGCTTTTTTTCGAACGTCAAATTAAATAATTATGTTATATTTTATAAATAATTATTTAATATTTGGAAAATTACAAAAAATAGTAAAATCTCTAATCTATGTGCAAAATAATTATTAAGGTTTTGTTTTACACTTAAATTAAAATCTAATTATAAAATGGGCAATGTTTCTTTTTTTCAATAGTTTCAATTTGCGAAACCTGATATTAAATTAAATATTTTCTTAATTGCTAAGTTTATATTAAAAAGTATGAAAAGTTTCCAAAATAAATCGACTTAAAAAAACGATATTAAAACATCGGATACAGTATCGTAATAACTTTGACTAACTAATAAATAGGTCCACACAGATAGCAATAATCGGGATCGGATTAATGCCATTATCATTGACATTTTGAAGAAAAAATTAGATTGGTTAATATCATAAAACCAACTTGACTTGATTTTTAAAATAAGTCTTTATAAAATTTAATTTACACTATAATTTTTAGTTTCATAATGTTTTAGACATATATTATAAAATAAACAATGGAGTGTATGGGTAATGTTATTTTAATAAGAATAATGTTGTAAACTCATAATATCGTCACTTGAGTGATGATTATACTATCTGACATTTTTGAAAAAAATTGGTTAATATTTATATTTTTATGTCAATAAAATTTTATATTTGTCTCCAGCATCAATTACCTCTGGGGCTTTCTATGCCAAATCAATCATTGACCCCTTTCAATTTTGATGAAAATATGTAAACTAAGATTTTTCTATTATATTTTGGCAAAGTTTTAGCCTACTAGCTATTTACTTTTGGAGATATCTAAGGTAAAAGCATGAAAAATTGCCTCTTTTGCAAGTGCCTATATTCATTAATTTAATAATTTGATTAAAAAACACGCAATTATATATAATGAATCTAGTCTCAGTAAATAATATACACTTTATCTTTATAAAATAAAATTAAAAAACTATTTTTAAAAATTTATAAACCTCTTATTCCCAGAATAAAATTTAAAATCCTAATAACGAAAATTTGGTAGGACCTATTTTTATAAAACTTTAGATAAAAGTTACTATTACCATTCCATAAAGTATTAAAAAAAATTGAGTGGTGCGAGGAAGAATTGAGAGATGAAATTATTGCACATAAGCAGATGGTCTGAAAATGAATGCAATAAAGACAAAGGTGATGATTGTTGCGAATAATATGCGATGGAGGAGTCTGACAACTTGCCTTGTGCTATAAGTGTAAAAGGAGTTGCTAGAAATTCGACCCCTGCACCTAATGCCAGAAATGGGTGCATAAGAGATGTAGTGGAAAAAAGGAAGCCTAATGATATTGTAGAACATGTGTAAAAGGTGTACATAATAATGATAACATAGAAAATGGTGGCTTGGATATTAGAATGGATCAACCCTGTGGAAAATTGAAAAGTTTTGTTATTCGGGTTGCATACTAAACACAGGTGGGTATTGTCAAGTCTTAGACAAGCATGGAAGAAGTTCAGAGAAATGTCGTCTATTTTCTAACAAATAACTTCTCTGAAGTTAAATGGAAAAGTTTAAGTAAGCTGTGCGAGTAGTTGTTTAGTTTATGCGTTGAAACTAGAGCAATGAAAATGACTCACGAAGTTAAATTGGAAAGAACGAAGATGAGGATGATAGATGGATGTGTGGGGTATCTCTGAGAAAGAAAAAGTATCAAGGAATTGCAAGCAAGGAGGGGAATATAAGTGATTGGAGTGGTAATGAGAATAAATAGACTAAGATGGGTTGGGTATGTAGAACAAGACAAAAGATGACTAGGTAAAGAGAGGTACCTTAATGGAAGTAGGAGGATTAGGACCTCGAGGAAAGCTTAAGATGATTGTGGTGGGATATGTGAAAATGAATCTTACAAATATTGATGCTCAGGGCTGTCAAAAATGGATAAGGAAAATCAGAGGGGAAACTACCTGGAAATCGTCATTAAACGGAAAAGATAATAAAGTTTAAAAAAATTTTTTTAAATAAAGTAGATAGTTCACACCAACATTCATTTTTATGCAATAAATAACTTTAAGAAATAATTGAACGGGAATAAAATGTTAAATACATTTTCATAAAAATTAAATTTTAATGATTAGTTTTTCTTAAATTGTTTAAACTTTAATCTCAGTATAAAGAGTGAGGCTGATAATACAATTCAACACTCAAGTGACGATATATATTATCTAATACTTTCTATTAGGGTTTTGCAAAATTAATTTTTCAGCCCTAGACTAGGCTCATCGCTCCGAATTCGGATTAGAAACAATTCCAATCCACTATTATTTTAGAAAAACCAATGGACTTTACCTTCAAAGTTCCTATGTTTTTTTAGATATAACTAGAAGCCCTTAAGGGTAAACACTTTAGACTGTTTGTCAAAATTGTTTTCAGACAAGATTAGAAACACTTAAATTTTTTTGTCTCTCAATAAATTTGTGTAAACTATTATTAATATCATGTCTACACCCTTAAGGCATATCTGACTCAATCTTCCCAATTATACCTTGAGACTTGCCTTCCTGGTATGGGGGACGTTTTTTGCATTATATCATCTTACCGGGCAGAAAATTCAAAAACTAGGCGTCATTTGGCTGAGTAAATATTACGCAATTGATACAATATAATTAATATTTCTTATTTTTTTCCGTAGTAATAAAACTTTTTTAGCTTTTTAAATATAAATGATTTCATTTTATTTTTCGTTGGTATGGGATTACAATATTTTATCTCCTCATTTTTCAATTAAAAGAGCGATTTTTAAAAAATGGTGATTTTATTTTCTTGATTTTTAAAATTGATTCTAACCTCAACGAAAATAAGCAGAAAAATTTTCATACAAAACCGAATTATGATTTCCCAAATAACTTATTCAAATTTTCTAGTTGTGAAAATAGAACAAAAATCCGAGTTTTAAATTGCATAAAAATTGAAATTGCATTCTATATACGTGCTATATAAAAAAACTGGTTACTAATCGGAAGTTCATTATTTTATATTCTTATGTCCATATAAATTGTGCAAAAAAAATTGATTTCAACGGTATTTTCTCCAATAATACAGTGCAAAACTTGAACATATCGAATATATAAAAGTTTTATTAAAAAAATATTTATTAAATTAAGAATTTAATAAGAATTTCAGCAAGAAACCAATATTTACACATTTTTCCTTATTTATTTATTTTTTAAAAATAAATGGATATATATCGTCGCCTGAGAATTATACTATTCTATATCCACTTTTTGAAAAATTAATTTATTTCGCAAAATGTATATTTTAAGGTCAGCACTATCGATCCCAACAATAAAAATGGTAAAAATGAATTTCAAGGATCCCCAAGATTAGATTGTATTATGTGCTTTTTTTATTGTTTTATTAAGGATTATATTATTCTATATCCATTTAACTAATAGGATTGATAAAACATAACTTATGATCATTTATCACCAAAGTAATTGGTTTAATATGTTTAGGGTTATATTAATCTATATCCATTTAACTAATAGGATTGATAGAGCATAACCATATTATCATTTTATCACTAATTAAATTGGCTTAATATGTTTAGGATTTATTATTTTATATCTAAAAAAGGAGAAATTGTCAAATTATTTTATCACCAACGTTTTATTTTTTTGAGGATTATATTGTGCTGTATCCTTTAAAAATAATGTTTTATGGTATTTTTTATTCTTTTTGAGGTTTATATTGTGCTATATCTAATAAAAGTATGTTTTTTGATTTATTTTTTTTGAGGATTATATTGTATTATATCCATTTTAAATAATTTTTATAATAATTTTTCATTTAAAATCATATCAGTAAATAAATAAAGTAACCTATAACCGGAAAAAAATGGTCCAAATAATTGAAGAAAAGATAGATATGCTCTATAATTATATATCTCTAGTATTAAACAACGAAGAAAGGTATAATGATAATGTGAAGGTTTTATTAAAATTTTGTTTAGTGTTATGGATGTTTTTAGGAATTTCGATCAACAACCAATATCACCAGTATTAAATAACGATGAAAGGTATTATATTATATTAAAATTTATGTGAGAGTTTTATTTTATTATAGCTTTCATTATAGTTTTGGACACACTAGCAGATACATTCCTCTTAAACAATTATGAAATTTATAATAATTTCCATATTATATTGATATGAATATTTCAAAGAATTTCGAAAAATAAACTTAATTTTATATTTATTATATTTTTGACTAAGATTAAAAACTTGTCATGAACAAAATTTTGTTATTTTAAAGTTATTAATATGAGATTTGTTTTAGAATTTTTAAAAATATATAACTATTCATAATTTTTTTTTAAATTTTAAATATTATACTCAAGGTTATAAAATTACTTAATCTTCATTTTTCGAAATATGAATTGATCAATTTGCACAAGCTACTAATATACCAAATATTTTTGTCCAGAAGATAAAGACAATATAAATGACAAAAGATTGTGCAGTAAAAGTAAAAGAAATCCACCAAACTGGAAAATAAATGTACAAATGAAAATCTGGCCATATAGCAATGTTCAAGGAGATAAATGTTAAGAAATGCAATATCTGTCGGTATAAATGTTCAATTAATTCACAATGATTTTCAGGCATTAACTCCTGACAAAAATTGATTTCTATAATCGAAATATTTACAGACTAGAAAGGACCAAAAATAAAAATTAATAAATCAAAGGTAAGAGTATGTAAACAATGTTTTCTCTCAACTATAAATATCATACAGTAAGTGATCTCATATTTTTTGATAAAAAAAGAAATAACCTTTCAAATACCTTTGTCTTATAGAAAAAGCAAGCACTAGAAAAAAATTATGAAAGAAGAAATGTAGGAAAAAAGGAAGTGCCCATATAAATCATTTCCTATAATCAAATCACACTATAGAAGAAATGATACAAATAAAGATCAATTATGATGTTTAATTTATATCAAGGCAAATATAGAGTAAAAAATATCCAACCGGTTTTAGAACATGCTTATAGATGCTTATAGATCAATATTTAATTATTGATATATGTGGGGAATTTAAAATTAAACACTTTGTAATTGAATTTTTATCTAAATATAACAAGCATGTAAATGATAAGAATTCCTATATATTAAGCCAATTTAATTTGTGATAAAATGATCATTTATCAATCCTATTAGTTGGATGGATATAGAATAATACTGTTGTATGATACAACTTATATTATGTATTTAAAGTAGTGTTTTCAATTACTATTACTTTTTGACAAATGTTTCACTTAAGGCGAAAAGAAGATATATTTAGATTGTAATAATATATTAAAGGTTGTTAATTATATAATGTGATTGGAAACAATTGATTTTCGAGATATATAAAGAATGATTATTTTTGATATACACACAGATAAAAAAACCATTCATTTTATTTTCTTTTGTATAACCATATTATTCAATAAAAAGATCACTTGTTTAACCATATTATTATTAAATAAAAAGACCACATCACATTCAAGTTATTCTATATATTTATTCTTATACTCCCGCCGTTTACCCGCTCACTTTGACATTTAGAGCACTGGGCAGAAATCACATTCAAGTTATTCTATATATTTATTCTTATACTCCCGCCGTTTACCCGCTCACTTTGACATTTAGAGCACTGGGCAGAAATCACATTCAAGTTATTCTATATATTTATACCTATTCATTATGGTGGAGGATAGGGTAAATTTTTTAACTTTTAACAATCCCTTCAAAGATACTGATAAATTTTATAAAAAAAATTATGTCATTCAATCGTTATTTACTAAAAAAGGGTATTTTGAAGAGAGTTGTGACATCAACAAACTAATTAAGAAATTTGATTGTGTTTTTAATGATAGAATTGGAAAAGTCAAAAATTTGGAAATAGACATTTTATTAAAAAATGACTTTAAGCCAAAATTTGTGAAGGCCAGGAGAGTGCCCTTCGAGTTAGAAGAAGAATTAGAAAACACTATAGAGCAATGGCGCCAGCAGGGCGTAATTAAGCCTGTCAGATTTTCACAATGGGCCACTCCATTAGTGTTAGTTAAAAAAAAGATAATACGTTGAGAGTTGGTGCTGACTTTAGAGTTACTGTAAACCCCCAATTAGAAAGGTTCGAATATCCGCTTCCAAGGATTAATGACATAATTGCTAAAGTAGGTAATGGAAAGTTTTTTTCAAAAATAGATTTCTCATCGGCGTATCTGCAGATTCCTGTATCTAAAGAAACTTCCAAATTTTTGACCGTCTCCACACACAAGGGTCTTTTTCAATTTAATAGACTACCTTTTGGGCTTACAGTATCAACTGCGTATTTCCAGAAGACTATGGACGAAATATTTGCTGATATTAAGGGGGTCATTTATTATTTAGTTGATTTGTTAATTTTTGGTAAGGATAAGTTAGACCATTTTTATAAATTGAAAAGAGTGTTTGAAAGAATGTTGGAATTTGGGCTGATTAGAAATATAAAAAAAAAGTGAGTTTTACAAAGAGAGTATAAAATATTAGGTTATTTAATAAGTGACAAAGGCAAACTACCAATCAAAGAAAAAATTGATCCTATAAGTACAATGACCGAACCTAAGAATAAGGATGAATTACATTCTTGGTTGGGTCTTATGAATTATTATTCTAGATTTATAAGAGATTTTTCTAAATTAGCAGCTAATTTATATGATTTACTTAAAAGGGGCAATAAATTTTATTGGGGAATCAATGAAAGAACTAGTTTTTACGAAATTAGAGAAAAATTGTGTAGTGCACCAATTCTTGCACATTATGATAGAAATAAGGAATTGTTTATTTCAACGGATGCGTCCAATAAAGGCATGGGTGCAGTCTTATTTCAAGTAGAAGAAGATGGTTTAGAAAGGCCAATTGAGTTTATGTCTAAGGCATGGGCTGGAGCTGAAAAAAGATATTCAATTATTGAAAAAGAAGGATTGTCTGTTGTTTTGGCAGTAAAAAAATGGAAAGAATATGTAGTAGGTAGGAGATATAAATTTTTTCGGACCATAAACCACTGGTGAATTTGTTTGGAGTAGATCCTTAAGCTTTACAATATGTCTCCAAGATTACAAAAATGGGCTTTTTGTTTAGCCGGTTTTGATTTTGACATTAATTATAGGAGGGGTAAGGATCAAATCATTCCTGATGGATTATCAAGGTTAATTAAGGAAGATATCATTTATTTTGTTAATGTTAATAATGATATGAAGGATGTAAGAATAATTAACAATTTAGAATTGATTAAAGGAGAAACCTTTTTAGATTCAAAATTAATCCAAGTTAAAAAAATTGAGTTGGAAAAGGTGAAAATGATACGCTGATTAAAGGTTACAAGGCATTCGGTAATTTGTTGAATATTAAGAAAGATTGTATTTTTAAGGGCGAACAAGTTATTATTCCTCAAAGGCTAAGAAAAAAGTATCTTAGTGTGTTACATGAGGGACATATTGGGTTGTATAGGATGTTAGATACTATGGAAAGGTATTTTTGGTGGCCAGGAGTCAATAAAGATATTAAAGAAATGATTTTTAGATGTAATATGTGCATGATCAATGCGCCTAA